TGCAGTGTCTCTCATGTTCTTTGATTCTGGTGTGGATGCTGCATTTTGTGGTTCCACTATATACCTGGCCACAACTGCAAGGTATCCGGTATACTCCTGCAGTGGTCCCTTTTGTCCTTTGCTGACTGTAACGTTTGTTGTATTATTGTAGTGGGGCTGAATACTGTTTGTAGGTTGTGTTTTTTTAAAAGTTTCCCCATGTGGTCCCCATGTGACCCATTTGATGTATGGCAGAAATACTTTATTTGTGGGTCGTTGTTTTTCCTCTTAAGTTTGGTGTTGTTTTCTTGGTTTGATGGCTCTTGTGATTTCATTCTTGGAATAGCCATTTACCCGTAGGGCCCAATGAAAAAGAAATTAAAACTTCCACTCCCTTTCCCTCTATCTGGGCCTAAGATATTATAATTTCTACTGGCTTTGATGAATAAATGCTCCAGCTTTGTACTAGCCATAAGTCATTCTTCAGTACATCAAGTAATAATCACAGAATGGTGAAATCGGAATGACTTCTTTCTTTAATTCACTTTCTTTGCAACGGTTCATGAGTTACCATTTGCACACAGGATGTGGAGTAATACGTAGCTCCACAGTGAAGAAAACAAGTAGAAGAGGAAGGAAAATAAACAGAACTGTTGTCATCATGAACATTTGACTATTTCAGCTGCTGTGTGATTACATGAATACATGAATAACTACCATGAAAAACTTTCCCTGAAAATAAGATAGGATCTTATATTAATTCTTGTTCCAGAAAACTCATTCGGGCTTATTTTCAGGGGATGTTTTATTTTATACAGTCATGTCATCTTCTGGTTGCTGCACAATGGTGGAGGGCGGGGTTTCAGCATCCTGAAAAATTGCACTAGGTCTTATTTTCAGGTTAGGTCTTATTTTCAGGGAAACAGGGTAGATATAATGCAGACAAACTCAAAGACAGGGATTTCCATTTTCATGTCCCATGGGCAGTTGCTGTTGGATATTATGTATTTATGTATTATTAATAATAAATATGTGCCATCAAGTCAATTCTGACTTATGGTGACCCTTTCACGGGTTTTACAGGTAGAGAATATACAGAAGTTCAGATGTTGAAAGATAAATTAATCCATGACTGTTCAAAATAGGTAGTGAACAGTCCTCTGGAAAGAAAAGGGATTATTTTAAAACTAAAACCCAAGATTCATGGTAGTCAAGAATTCTGCACCTCTCCCTCACCACCACCACTGAGGAACTGTGTTCAGTACTTTCCTACAACCACTTTTTACACTTGTTCTGCCTCCTTCCAGAATTGTGGCACAAAGACTGCCCAGAATGTATGTTGGTAACAACAAAGAGATGGGTGAGGAGAAAAAACACACCAAGAAAATATTCTCTGGCAGAAATCCTGTTTGTGCAGCTACATCACATAAGGCTTATGACGTTAATAGTCATGGTGACTTTTTAGAAATAAAAAAATTATCCCCTCCCCCCCAAAAAAAGTCCCATGGAATCTTTTTAATCACAGGCAAGATGTTTTGAGCTGCAGGACTGGAGAGGAAGTGTTTAATTTCAAAAGACTATCCCCTGCTGGCAAAGTCATCTTGTGGCAGAAATTAAAGATCCGTGGTCCACATGACAAAAGGGATTCCCTGGGAGTATCAGGACTTTTGTGGTGGTGGGGAGCATATCAGAAATATTTTATTTCTGAAAAATTGCTGTGCAGCTTAATGCCTATGTATCTTAATTTACAGAAGAGGATTTTGCCCACTGATGACAGGCATATAGACTCTATCCGTCAGTCTTTTTCAGGTGACCCATCTATCAGCCTTTGTTTTCATGTTGTTGAGTGGGTATTGCAGGCCCATGAAATCCTGTTATAGGCATGGGTTTTGTCTGTGGGGATACAGTATGCACAATTGTTTGGCAGAGGTCAAAATGGAATAGCAGGCACCACCCATTTCCTGCCACAAATGTGAATACAGGGAGGGCCAATGAACAGGAAGCCCATCCACACCTTGTCATATCACAAGTGGAAGTGGAGGTGTTGTCTCCTTCTCTAAATATTGCAGTGTAAGGAAGGAGTTAACACATCATATCCAACATCATCTGAATGCCCATCACCCATGTATGCCTAGTACATGCAGGCTACAAAACATGTGACCTTTCAGATGCTGACAAATTATTACTCCTACCACTCACCACCAGCTTAACTGATGGCAGAAGAGTTCAGCTAAATCTGAAGGGACAGAGATACCCATGACAAGATGCCCGTAAGCTCCATGTAGCCCACTTGCTGTGTTTGTGTCCCTATACTCTCCCCAAAGGGACATGGTGGCGCTGCGGGCTAAACCGCAGAAGCCTGTGCTGCAGGGTCCAAAGACCAGCAGTCGTAAGATTGAATCCACGCGATGGAGTGAGCACCCGTTGCTTGTCCCAGCTCCCGCCAACCTAGCGGTTCGAAAGCATGCAAATGCGAGTAGATAAATAGGGACCACTTCGGTGGGAAGGTAGCAGCGTTCCGTGTCTAAGTCGCACTGGCCATGTGACCACGGAAGATTGTCTTCGGACAAAACGCTGGCTCTATGGCTTGGAAACAGGGATGAGCACCGCCCCCTGGAGTCGAACACGACTGGACAAAAATTGTCAAGGGGAACCTTTACCTTTACCTTACTCTCCCCAAAATAATGTTGTCAATCACAGGAAAAAAAACAGAAATTCCACTCCTGGAAGTTTCAAGAGACAGAAATTACGATGTTTGGTTTTTTTAAGAAGGCACATGTACCACCTTGATCTGTCTCAAAAAAATGTTTGTTTTACATACAACTGGACTTACCAGTTTCATTGAGGGAGACAGGAGGCTCATTTCAGGCAACAAAGCTCTCACTATACCTTCAGTTAACACAGCATTCAGCCTGTGAAAACAAGACCCCAAAAAGTGTTCATTTTCCTTACACGTGGCAACAGACTTTGTACAGTTCAAGAGTGCTTCTGCTTACAGTACACATTACAAAACTCACAGACTTTAATGACAGCTTCGATGCCTTTGCTTTCCACTGAAAGCAAAGGGGATATTTGTCACTTTGAAGCAAAGGGGATATTTGTCAACTTGAAGCAAAGGGGATATTTGTGCTGTAGTGTTAAAGACTTAAGAGTGGGGAGGAAACCTTCCCCCAGCCCCACTCAGATAACCTTCTAGGACTTGTACAGGGCAGAAAAACAGTGAAATGGGAAATCAGTTCTGCTGCATGTATTGCTTAAGCCACACTTACGTAAGCCAGCAAACCCACTTCCATGTACAGCTGCTGGAGCTTGTATTATCTGAGAGCTCATCCCAATGTCTGGTTTGCTTCTGCTAAAGGTGGTTCCATTGCTGATTGATTCTTATTAGATTAATGCATCTAGAATCTAGGCAGCTTTACTATTGATTTGAATGGATTCTCCCCACTTGCCTTCTACTAAAGAGCTATTTAGAGTTACTGTCCCTCGATTGTGAACTGGGTTATTTTTTTGAAGCCTATTTCTTTGTTCTGAATAATCCAGGTTCCTACCGGGTGTGCACAACTGGAAATTCTCTGACATCAACTGTAAGGAAACCTGGCCTCTATGTACCCTCACTTTCCTTCATAGTCTATGCATTCTGCCATTTCGCCACGGGGTGGTGATGATGGCTCTCTTGTTGCATTGTTTTGCACTTCGAAGACTTTCCTTTCATATTCCTTTCCCCATAATCTTGGCAGCTCTCCTCAATGCCTGGTCTTGGTCTACAGCTGATGAGGAAACTCGGCTTGCTGAAAGCAGTACAAGAAAAAGCTTGCCCAACCAGTGGAGCTGGGGAGCTGCTCAGGCATCGCCCGGTTGATTATCAAGAGAGAAGCTGGATAGCCTAGTGGTTTAGGTCTCTGGCTGGGAAGCCAGAGGTTGGGAGCTTGATTCCTCACTGTGCCACCTTGAAAGGGGCTGGACTTGATGATCCATAAAGTCTCTTCCAGCTCTGCAGTTCTAAGGTTATTATTATTAGAGTGGGGTGGGAGGGTGGGAGGAGGAACGGAGGGGTTTGTGGAAACTCGATTTAGAACACTCTGCATTAGAATGGAGGAAAAATGACTACAGTATGGAACCACAGTTTGAAACGGCATCAATTCAAGCCACATAGCTTGTCTGGAGTAGAAAGGAATTCACTTCTTCTGCCCCTCTGCCATGGAACAGAGGAAGCATTCAAACAGGGTTTCTTGAGATCCATATGCCATTTGGATGTGAGGATCACACCAAATGACATATCACATCTCCACCCAACCTCAAGCAGCCTATTTAGACAACACCAGCCCGCACCAAAAGGTGTATAGATGAGCCCTACTTCTCATTCAGGTCCATCCAAACCAATTCCCTGGATCAATCCTGTCTTTCCCTACCCAGCATTTCATCATCCTTTCCCCCATGATGTCATGCTCCTTGTCACACCCTGAGCTGGGTCTGCTTTCAAAACCACCAAACTTCTCTCACCTCCTCCTGGTGGACACTTCTTTTTTGTGATACATGGGGAAATCTGAGACAGAAAAAAAGGAGAGAGTGTGCAGTTAGGAAATAGGAAAGGAGACACAGAAACATGCATATAACCTTATGAATTTTCCATTCCCTTTGGGGGTTTGTATGCTGGTTCTTTTGCAACTTGAAAAGAAGTTTGGGGACCAAAGGAGATGACAGGGGAATGAGACGAGATCTGTAGCATTTGTGTGCCTAAAAGTAATTTGTAAACACATGGATAATGCAGTACTACAAGGTGAGGTATATCACCAATTGGACCCCTGAATATCCCCTGGACCCCTGAATATCTGGCTCTAGTAGAGTTTGCTATGATTATAAATAATGGTACATTTTGGAGGTGGGAACCCTCTCAAATTCTCACTATCAAATCAACTTGATATCAAATATCACTTTTCATATACAATGCATAATTTTTCAAGATGCAGAATCCTTGTGTACGTGCTGATCTGTTCTAGAATGCCCTGTCCTCTGTCTGGTAGAATAACCAAGACTTAAATGGAGGAAATTGATGGCACTGCTGTGGTGCTTATAGAGCTTAAATCAAAGTGATCTGATAAACTGCAGTTACAGGACATATAGATTCATAAAGCCAGACAACTGGAGCTACTTATGAAGAATATACAGTAATCAAATAATAATGAGCACAAATAAACAAGATTATTGAGTATCCAAAGATTTGGAAGACTGCCGCCATGACCCAGAAGAGAAATACAACAACTCACAAAATGACTGTTTAAGAAGAAATGTTGTGCTCTTCATGCCACCCTGACTCTCAAGCTCACTGAGAGCTTTTGGTTGGCCACTGGCACAATCAGAATGCTAGACTTGATCAAAACAAATTAGTTGCCCAAGAATACAAACTAGATACATGATTGTTGCATCTTGCTTCATTACACAAGACGATGCTTTGCCTACACCCATGATTGCTGTGTGCATTTCGTTTGTTTCTGGAACCAAAGCTGAAGACTGCTTTGGGGTCTGCTCTCACAGCACAAGCATTCTGAAATTAACTGTTATCAAGATTTCCTTGTTAATATGTTATAATTGTGGCTCCTGCAATATTTTTTATGAGCCACTCTAAAATCGTAGGAAATGTAGTACAGTATATAAATAAACTACCCTAAATCTACTTGTTCACCCTAACTACGGTAAACCCAATTAAATCAATAGGAACTTGGCATACAATACTTACGGACATTCAGTTCTCTAGGTCTGCTGTGTTGGGCCAAAGACTGTATCGGTACAGACTGAGAGAAAAGGAAACAAGCTTTTCGGATATAGGTCAGTGAGTCCACCTTTCTCCTCTTCATCATTGGGCTCCATCCTGACATAAACCACTTCTGAGGAGGGCTGCATGGCTGGCTGTGATAGACCCTGGGCGCCCTCAAGGGAAACTGCTGGCTTTAGGTGAGATGAGCACCAACAGCTCAGTATCAGGAGTCGAAGAGTAAGTGGCAAGGGAAGGAGATAGGTAGGCACAAAACATCCCCAGAAACCACATTCCTTCTATAAATATTGTACTCTGGAAAAGCGCCCTGACTGGTGTGAAGGAAACAGTTTTAAAACAATTTCAACAGAACGTAAGTTACAAAAACAGGGAAAACACTTTTTACATGAGTGGCCATTACAGTACATGTGTATTTCCAATTACACAGAAAACGAAAGGCTTCTCACAAGATCTTCTTAATAAACACATTTGCCAAATATCTACAATACAGGCTTGTAATTATTGCTCAGTTTGCACAGTCTTGATTGGTCTAGTCACACATTGTCTTTCCTGTCTAGACTCCCATAGACATGTTAACTACTTGCTAATTACTCTCAGTACCTCAGTTCAAAACTGCATGTCCCTACATTACCATATGAGATGGTTGGACAGGGTCACAGAAGCGACCAACATGAAGTTGACCAAACTCCGGGAGGCAGTGGAAGACAGGAGGGCCTGGCGCGCTCTGGTCCGTGGGGTCACGAACAGTCGGACACGATTAAACGACTAAACGACAAACAACATTGCCATATGAGCTCAGCCAGTAATGGTGGAGTCCCTGTATGTATTCCTGCATACATTTACTTTCTATACAGTTCCTCAGATCAGTTCTGCTACATTCATTTTTCAATATCTCTTGGGAACTACCAGATTAACCATCCACCTGTGAGCAGCTTGGAGTAATGCAACTAGCACAGGAAAAAAACTCTCAGAAGCTTCTAGTTCCAATGAGTAGATACTTGCAGTCAACTTCTGTAGCCTTCCATTCTATAACAAATTGTTCTGTGGTAAATTCCCACAGCCTGGTCTCCTGCACCCACACTGACAGCAAACCTGTCCCCAAATCAGTCTCCTCCCAACGCTGGCTGCAATTTGTGCTTATATGCAAATGTCCTTGTTCTATGGGCAATCAGGACTTGGGGGGGCTACATGGTGGCAGCAGCACACAATTGCTGGCGGTCTTTCTCCAGTAACATGTTGGAGGAGACATTGATGAACGATAACATCTGGGCCTAGTGTCCCCTTTTTAATGCTGGTGGTTAGGTAGATATCCTTCAGTCTCAAGACTATGGTAACCTGCTCTGAATAGAGGTCTTGGAACAGCATCAAGTGTGGCTGAGAAGGCCAATTCGAGAGTGACAATCCCTTCCACACCGAAGACAAATACAATCTGTCCCATGTCCAGCTCCCTGGTTTTGCTGGTTTCGGGACTGCCTCTTTGCCTCGGCCTGCTGAACAAGTGCCTCTTCAAATTGGGAGAGGCCATGATGCACCGCCTGCCTCCAGGCTAAACGCTCAGATGTCAAGGTTCCCCATCTGTTGAGGTCCATTCCTAAGGCCTCAAGATCCCGCTTGCAGATATCCTTGTATCACAGCTGGGGTCTCCCTCTGGGGTGCTTTCCTTGCATTAATTCTCCATAGAGGAGATCTTTCAGAATCTGACCATCAGCCATTCTCACAATATGCCCAAGCCAACATATAGACAGGTTCTAGAAGGTGAAGTGAAAGCTACTCAGAAAGGACTGGGAACTATTTCAAGCCACACAGACTGAATCTGTCAGGATTCTAAAAAGAATATGCCAACAAATATGAGGGAAATGGTCCACAGACAGGAAAGCGAAGAGATGTCGAAGAATGCAGTAACTGTAGGACCATTGCTTTAATTTCCCATGCAAGCAAAGAGATGCTCAAGGTGTAGCAAGACAGCCATTTACCTTTTAAGGAGTAAGAAATGACTGATGTTCAAGCTGGATTCCAAAAAGGAAGAGGCACTAGCTACTGAAGCACATCCAAGAATTTCAGAAGATCAGTCTATGTTTTATAGACTACAGCAAAGCCTTTGACTGTGTGGATTATTAAACAACTATTAATTTGTTCTGGAAAAAAAGGATGTGCCTCAGTACTTCATTGTTCTGATGTATAGCTTGTGTTGTCAAAGAGAAGCTACTGTTAGGAGAGATAGAATAGTTTCCTATAGGTAAAGGTGTCAGACAAGGGTGCAAGACAAAAAGAAGATATCTGGAAAAAATAATAATGATAGGAAAACTTGAAGGCAGCAAGAAAAGCAGAAGACCAGATATGAGATGGATTGTTTCCATAAAGGAAGTCATAGGCTGGAGTTTACCAGAGCTGAGCAGGACTTTTGAGGACAGCACATTTGGAACACCGTTCATTAATTGGGTTGCCATAAGTCGGAGGCACTTTAATGCCCCCCCCTTTTTATGAACCAAAAGGGGGGGACTTTTCTCGAAAAAACGCAGCACCTGGGCAATGGGAATACTGAGGCAGAGGACGAATCCAGCACTTGCGGGTTGTTTCTCTGGAAATCCTGAAGGAGCATCTGCTTGGCAGTTAAGAAGCGCTTCAGGAGATCCAAGGGTCCGAGACTGAAACGAACCCTGGTGGGTTTGTTGCTTTTGGAGAAGCCGGAGTTAAAAAGAGCGAAGGGCAGGCAAGAAAAGCCCAGCGCGCAGCCACCGAAACGCCCACAGGAAGCTCAGTCCTGGGACCCGAGCAATTAATTGCCTCCTGAGTTTTGGGTTGTTTTTACGAAAAGTTTCTTTTTCCGGCCGTCCTTCGCCTCAGGAAACGTCTGGGATCGCACCCCGGCCAGCGATTCCACCCCCGGCAGCAGCGAGGCTGTTAAGGAGCCCAGCAACTGGAGTAACAGGCAAGGCAGGAGTCGCCGCTCCAGACCTGGGGGGTGGTGGGGGCGCCCCTTTCTTCCCTTCGCGCCCGGCGCAGGTATTAATGTGGACGGGCCCCGCTGGGGCCGGTTGTCTGCGCCCGATTCCCCGGGGCGGAGACGAGCCCGCGAAAACCGCCCCGGGACGGCGCGAGGGTGTGGAAGAGGCGGGAGGAGTTTCCGAAATTGGTAACGTGGCACAACAGGGGATGGGGGAGGGAAGGGGGGAGATCAGTAGCTCGGCGCGGTGGCCGCCCCCCTGCAGGCCCCTTCCTCATGGGGATCTGATAGCCACAGCAGGGGGGGGGCAAGTGGCCGCCCCCCTGCAGGCCCCTTCCTCCTGGGGATCTGATAGCCACAGCGGGGGGGCAGGTTCTCATCGCGCCACTCTTCCGAGGCGCCCCCGGAGGCCCCCCCCAAAACGTCCAGGCAGCGGCGCGGACTCGCATCAAGAAAGCGGCGCTGGCCTTTTCCCTCTCGGTCCGGGGCAGGACTTTTGGAAATCCCAGCGCTCGCTCGGCGGTGTGAAGTCACTCCGAAATTCCTTGCGTAGTAACAGGGATTGCTCACAACAACAGAATAGGCTTCTTTAGGCTGTAATATTTCACGGCCTGCGAAAGTGGCCGCTCGGGTCCGGAGGATCAGGGAAGACCCGTGGGAGGCTGAGACGATGTCACGAAGTCCCGGTGGCCGGAGGCGAGGAATCCTGGCTCCCCTCTGCCCTTGCCTAGGAAGCAGCCTCATCCCAACTCAGATTAGGATGGCCCATTCATTCACCTTACCGACAGTTAGCCATAGGCTGTGCAACGTCAAAGTTTAAAACCTGTAACACTTCATTCCTGTTCCCATTTGGTCTTGTTCATAGAATCATGAAGTTGGAAGGGGCCCTCTATCCAAGGCCATCGAGTCCAACCTCCTGCGCGGTGCAGGAATTCAGATCAAAGGATATCTGCCTGGTGGTTGTCTAAGTTTCTCTGGAACGCCTCCCCGGGTTGGAGTGCAAGGCAATTGGTTCCATTGCTGTACTGCTCTTAACTGTCAGGGAGTTTTTCCTGATAGTCAACCAAAATCTGGCTTCCTTTAACTTGAGCCCATGGTTGCTTGTCCTGCCCTCTGGGATGATTGAGAACAAATCTTGCCCATCCTCTGTATGACAGGCTTTCAAATATTTGAAAAGTGCTATCATATCTCCCCTCAGTCTTTTTTTTTTCTCAAGGCTAAACATGCCCAATTCTTTTGGTCTTTGTGAAAGCCATGGAAATACGCATAATCAGGGGTCCCACACCCAGAGGTTGGAAAACTACAAACTGGACTACAAACCCCACGTTCCCCAAAAGTGATCCTGTTGATTTGGGATTTTCAGAGCTGTAATCCAAAAGTTAACTCTTCCACACGTTCTTCATTAGTTACCTGCACCTGCTGTTTCTATTCTGCATAGCTAATGCTAGACATTTTGCTGCCGGAAGTGGAGCAGTATCCAAGTTAACAGTATTTAATGCATCATACTCAAGGTCATGCTGCTGGGGAATTCTAGGAGTTGTAGTATCATGTCAGCAGGGGATTCTGGGAATTGTCATCTCAGCATTCAACGATGTTCGTTTGGCACACGAGGCACAAAATCCCATAAGTGCCTCTCCCCATCCCTGTCGTTAAAAATACAAAAGCCACAAATAATTTGCTGGTTGCCCATTGCAATCCTGCTACACAAGGCAACCGCTTCACTTTACCCATTGGCAGGGATGTGGTGCTGTGTTGTCTTCATTCTTCCTAATCAGTAAGCAAGACCAGCAGAAGTAGTAATACGTTATGGATTGCATATAACTTGAGATTCGAGGCGCTTCCTGCCAGAGCTTTCACTGTACAGTTGCCCTGCCTGAAGCAAAGAGATTTACAAGAGATCCAGAGAACATCTTCTGTGAATGACCCTTATCAATATTTTTACCCTTCTTCTCTTTCTGTTTCTTCTTTCTGTACCAGCTAAAATCTGCTAAGGAAGAAAAGCCAGTGTAGTGGCACAGTGCCTTTTAATTGGTGGTGTTAAGACCCATCCTTCTAGAAATCTCTGCTCAGAGTAGCAACATTTTTCTCCAAACACATGCCCACCTTTGGCAAGGGAACAGATATTAAAGAGGGCAGGGTCTCTGGTGTCTCAAAAAGTTGCACAGAAGACAGAATTTGCATTGGTACAACCAAAGGATGGAAAAAGTCATAGTTCTTCAAGCTGTTATCCCAGAGATGACTGGAGAAGCCGTCCCTGTTTTACCTAGCCACCCTAAGGCACCGTTTCTTTTTCACATGCAGTAATAATGCAAAATGTGCTGCTTATATACTGCTCTATAGTGCTTAAAGCACTCTCTGGGTGGTTTACAATTTAATTATGCAGGCTAGACATTGTTCCCACCCCCCCGGGGACTTCAGTATTCACCTTACTGACCTCAGAAGGATGGAAGGCTGAGTTACCTGAGCTGGCTACCTGAGCCCGTCAGGACTGTAGCTGGGTCATGAGCAGAGTTTTTACTACAGTACTGTCATTTAACTGCTGTGCCAGGAGGCTCCATAATAAGGAGAATACTTTACGATTTTCACTTATCACAGATAAAGTTTGTTTATCACACCTTCTGAAAGCAGCACTCTAGCTTGTCCTTTAACAAGATGGAAGAATAAACAAAGAACAAACATTCCCCCCTTGTTGGGGGAGAAACAAGCCAGACTGTAGAAATTTAGTGTCACAGTAAACAGACTACGGACACAATTCCTGATTTGTTTAGCCATTCCTGTTTACAGCAGGAATAATCGAGCAACATTCCCGGATGGATTAATGATATGAATTCCAGATCATCTATGGCTTATTTTCAGCTTTTTTATACTCATGTATTTTGCTTCCAGCTGTGTGCGTGCACACGGGTGGTCAAGTCGATTCTGACTTTTGGTGACCCTTTCCAGTGTTCTCTAGACAGAAAATATAGAGAAGTAGTTTACCATCCCCTTCTTCCGGGGGCAGTATCTGGCTACATTGTGAAAATTAGGCAGCACGTATGGAACATCCAGCTCCCTATCTGTTGTCTAATTTGCACAGGGCAGCCAGATATTGTGACCACACAAATAACCGTACTTTTCTTGCAACAGAGTATTCATTGTGTATGTTATTTTGCTTTCAGCAAAACCTCAACCATTCCCCTCTTCTTGATCATGGAAGATCCTATGGTGTTCACCTCTGCCACACTGCCCTCTGATCCCCGACTCCTTGCAACTGTGACCAATGCCTATCTGGGCACCCGGATCTACAGGGACATCCTCCATGTAAATGGGATCTATAATGGAACAGTTGGGGACACTCATCGAGCTGATATCCCCAGTCCTGTTAATGTCAGAATGAATATGGTGACCGAGGACAACCTGAATGAGACTTTTTCTTTGGATACCAGGACAGGTATGAGGCAGCCGCATCATCGTGTTCTTGTGCCATTTGTGGCCAACGCAGCAGTGCCACAATGACAGGGCAGCTTTACTGATTTCTTGGTCAGTATCGTATTTGTCTGCTCTGCACACATACAGTATATCACAGAAGTGAGTACACCCTCTCACATGTCAGGTCATAAATACTTTAGCTTTTCATGTGACAACACTGAAAAAATAGCACTTGGCTACAATGTAAAACAGTGAGTATACAGCTTGTATGACAGTGTAAATGTGCTGTCCCTTCAAAATAGCACAACACATAGCTATTAATGTCTAAACCACTGGCAACAAAAGTGAGTATACCCCTAAGTGACAATATGCAAATTGGGCCCAAGTAGCCATTTTCCCTCCCTGGTGTCATGAGACCCGTTAGTGTCAGAAGTCTCAGGTGCGAAGGGAACAAGTGTTATTGCTCTCACTCTCTCAGACTGGTCACTGGAAGTTCCACATGGCACCTCATGGTAATAAACTATCTGAGGATCGGAAAAAATGAATTGTTGCTCTACGTAAAGATGGCCTAGAGACTATAAGAAGATTGCCAAAACCCTGAAACTGAGCTGCAGCACAGTGGCCAAGACCATACAGTGGTTTAACAGGACCCTCAGAACAGGTTCCACTCAGAACAGGCCTCACCATGGTCGACCAAAGAAGCTGAGTGCCTGTGCTCAGCATCATATCCAGAGGTTGGCTTTGGGAAATAGACGTATGAGTGCTGCCAGCATTGCTGCAGAGGTTGAAGGGGGGGGTCAGCTGTCAGTGCTCAGACCATACGTTGCACATTGCATCAAATTGGCCTCCAGGGCTGTTGTCCCAGAAGGAAGCCTCTTCTAAAGATGATGCACAAGGACTGGAGGATAGCACATGTCACGCCAATCTTTAAAAAGGGAAGGAGGGGGGACCCAGGAACTACAGGCTGTTTAGCCTAACATCTCTTCCAAGGAAGATGGTGAAAAACCTCATCCAAGACCAAATCTTAAAAGACATAGAAGAAAAAACGTGGCTTCTGTAAGGGTGAGTCTTGCCTCACAAACCTTTTAGAATTATTTGAAAAGGTCAACAGGCATGTGCATGTGCATGTGGGCAAACTAGTGGATATTGTCTATCTGGATTTTCAGAAGGTGTTTGAAGGTGGTGGTAAGGCTGCACCTGGAGTATTGCGTATAGTTCTGGTCACCACACCTCAAAAAAAGACATAGTGGAACTGAAAAAGTTGCAGAAGAGAGCGACTAAAATGATGACTGGGCTGGGGCACCTCCCTGATGAGGAAAGGCTACAGCATTTGGGGCTCTTTAGTCCAGAGAAAAGGTGCCTGAGGGGGGACCTGACTGAGCCATATAAAAATATGCAGGGGATGGATAAGGTGGATAGAGGGAAACTCTTTTCCTTCTCATGCAGTACCAGAACCAGAGGACATCCACTCCAGTTGGGAGTGTTAGGAGAGTGAGAACAGACAAAAGAAAATATTTCTTTACCCAGTATGCTGTTAGTCTGTGGAACTCCTTGCCACAGGATGTGGTGATGGCATCTGGTCTAGATGCCTTGAAAAGGGGACTGGGCAGATTCCTGGAGGAAAAGTCCATCGCAGGTTACAAGCCATAATGGGGATGTATAATCTCCAGGCTTAGAAGGAAGGTACCTCCAAATGCAAGATATAGGGGAGGGTATCAGGAGACAGGTATCTATTTGTCTTGTGTGCTCCCAGAAGCATCTGGTGGGGACACTGTGAGATACAGGAAGCTGGACTAGATGGGCCCTTGGCCTGATCCA